ACACACATACACCCCCCCCACACACACACACATACGCAAACACACAAAAGGCACAGTAGTGTGATTCTTACTCTTGTTCATACAGTGAAAATTTAATTGGTATCAGTTGCGCACTTTTAAGAGGCTGAGATGACCTATAACCCCCGCCCCCCTCCCGCCTTTTTCCAAGATAAAAAGCTATGTCATCATAAACATACACCTGTTGCAATGTTGTATGATGTGATGCAAAATATATATTAAAAAGTTAGACTCTGTATCTTACAAAAAAAGGTATCTCTTTTTTTCCATAAACTTGATGTTTTGACTTTGTTGACTAAAAATTATGAGCGTTTGTGCGTATGAGCGTGAGTGTATACACGTACCCTGATGGTGTGTATTGATAAAATTTAAAACACAGTTCTTTGGGTGTATCAAGGAAGGGAGAGGTGCTGGTGAGTAAGTGTGAACTTTGTTGATCCATCGCCTTAGCGCTGTTCTGGCTGATGAACACGCGTAAAATTATTGATTCAATTATACATGCATAATATTGTTAAAAAGTCGGGGCTTAAAGTGTCAAAGTGGGTTACCCCATGTTCAAATTTAAAATACGCTGTATTCTTTTCATTTTGTCTCAAAACAGCCTGTAAAACCAATGGTTTCACACAGATTCGATTCAGTTTTTATTTCAACAAAACGCATACCGGACCTACCGTAAACAAAGTAATCAGCCTTTTGTGTGTGTCTGTGTCTTTCACCTTTTGAATAGGCCTACATGTATGGCATGTTTGTCACAATAAAGCCATTCGTGCATAACTGTATTTTTTATAATTTAAGATTAAAAACGTTTGAGATGGGGTAGGTTCTTTTCAATGTTGGTTTTTTATGCTCTCATCAACACAATATTCGACCAGTTACACGTATTTACTCCCAGGAAGTCAAGCAGCTGCATAACAAGGAAATGTTATATTGGAACTTTCAAGGTAAAAGATCAAGGGGAAGAGCCTTTCTCTGTGTGCTTATATATTTTTGTAATAATTAGCCTATACTTACGTACGTTCTTGACATTCTACTAAACTACATGTGCGGTGTCCCGTTGTTTTG